GCACTTAGAAAAATTTATAAATGATTGGAGAAAACTAATAAGAACGAGTCTATATTTAGAAGATAAAAAAAAGATTGAGCGTAACCTAAAAATGGTGAGCATATTCTTAGAAAATTTCTAAGTGGCCATAGGAAACTAATGAGGAAACTTATTGGAGGAACTCTTATCTTCAAACTCATTAGATAAACTCCCTTTAAAAAAACTCTCATTAAAGGAACTTATTAAAGGAACTCAACTCTTATTGAAGGAACTCTTATCTCATGACTCATTACAAGAGTGATGTTATTACATTAGAACCTCATACCAATCCTTGAAAGAGTGTCCGAAAATCCCCACCGTAGATCTGTAGATAGAAAATATATGTCATAAATACATTATTTTTATCTAAAAAATAAACTTATATTCCTATTAAGGATTATGCATTTTGATGTGATTTGAACAATATGTCTAAGAAGGTTATTAGAAGGAATGTCTTAAAGGCGAAGCCAAAATATTTACTTTAACTGCCTTAATAACTTTGAATGGATAAAGTTATTTTGATTCCACAAAGTTATAAATCCTTAGGATACACCAAATATCCAGGGGATAATCCCTTCTAGTTCTTCATTGATCTTTTATTTTTATTAGGAGAATAATTTTGCTTATAATATTTTTCATGTTGGTTGTTCTTATAAAAATAAAGAGACTCGTGTCTTTGCAAACTGGATTAAGCAACTCATGTAGGGTGATCCTAATTTTCATTTTCATACCTTGTTTCATCTTGCACAAGCTTCTGTGTGATATAACATAAAGTTTTTTATAGAGGTTATGTCTCTTACCCATCTTATTAAGGATTTTAAAGCTAATGGATTAATCAATTCTTTCACCTTGAGCATCTCTTTATTGAATCTTTTTAAATATACTCGTTTAGACTCATCTTCTTGTTGAATTGTGAACATAACTTGTTTTATCTTGAGCAAGTTTTTGTCTAGTAGAATATAAAAGTTTTTCTAAAGGGTATGTCCCTTACCAATTTTATCAAGGTCTTTAAAGCTACTGTATCAATTAGTTATTTTACCTTGAACATCTTCTCGTTGAGCCTTTTTAAATATACTTGTGTAAACTCGTTTTCTTGTTGGGTAACACTAAATAGTTCTATGGAGCTTTTCTTGTTGGGTTAATATTGAAACATGCAACTAGCTAAATGTATTTTTCAATTGAATTTAGCTCTAAGTTATTATAAAGATTGTGAGGAGAATTGTTTATATTAAGTTATTATTCTTGATGATTGATTCTAAACTATGCACACATTTTATATATGATTTCTCATGTTGGCTAAACCATCTTAGTTGCCCATGTTTATAAGCCAAAAAAAATAATATTATATTTTTACTATTTAAAAAGTTATATAACTAATTTGGTTTTTTAAAATTTTTTAAATAGCATCTTCACTATACGAAGGATAGCTTAGATAAAGTAAAAGAAATGAGAAAAGGAGGGAGAGAGAGAGGGGGTAATGATTTGCCATGTATTTAAATGTTTGACTAACAAAGAAAAAAATAAAGATTATATGTATTTAAATTTGAGAATTACAAAATAATAAAATCATAGAAGTTAATCCGTGGAGAATAAAATGATTGAAAAATATATTTCTTCGGCATAGATAGCAAAGTAATTATTAAAAGAAAAAAACAAGGGAACATGAATAGTTAGTTCAGCAACACTACTTTTTAAAAATGAGGTGGTCGGAGAAGTTCGAATTTAAGTTTTGTTTTTTTCCTATCTTATAAATTGGAAGTGAAGGATTGGTAATGTAAAGTACAAAACTATATAATAAAAAGATTAAACGGTGTCCATTTTCTTTTAAGACTAAACTATGTAAAGTACAAAACTATGTCAGAAAACATTAAACGGTGCAAAACCATCATCATTTTTTAATGCTCATTTTCTTTTAAGGTTTTGAAATTGTTTTTCCTGGATGGCATGACCTGGGCTTGGCTAATGTGTTCATGAATGCTAAGAGTACTAGCCCACATTTTTTTAAGTCTAAGAATAATAAATTATTATAATCATAAAGGAATCTCAATTAAAAAAAATATAAAAATCATGAATTAGATAGATTATTTCAATACAACTATATTAATAAGTCTAAGAATAATAAGTCAAAAAATTATATTAAAAAATAAAAAAAAATAGATATTCTATTCTCATTGAATATCAATGAGAAAAAAAATTATGCATGTATATTAGAATAATATATAATTTATCGTCAGTTGAATATAAACATAACCATAAAAAGTTGCAATGACTGTGCATAATTATTAAACATTGTTTTAATAAGTTTATTTAAAGATAATTTTATTATAAAAGACAAGCTAGGAAGAGATTACCATAGTCTACCAGTAGGGAAAAATGGAAGAGATGATGACGAAATGATCCTTTGGTTTCTATAAGACCGGAAATTTTCTGTGGATGAAGCTACTTCAAAATTGACCAAAGCCACTGTATCCTAACTGTCACAATTTTTGTTCTTTCAACTGTAATATATGTTTGAAGGTTTTGAATTTGCTACCATTGAATGATTTGATTCGTGGAAATGTGCAAGTGAAAGCATAGAAAAATAGCCACAGAGCTGTATTTGCTCCACTTACAGTTTTGTGTGAGCATTTTGAATTTTGTGTGGTTTTCCTTCTACACTTGCTAGGAATGGGGTGAAGAATTTAAAGTGTCGGAACTGTCTGAAGAGCCAGTGAAAAGTATAGCAGACACTGGAAAATCCTATGTGCATGATTATCTTGATGTGTATGGAAGGCCAGTGCTTGTAGTGGTGGCATCCAGGCACTTTCCTACTGTAAGTTCTTAAGTTCAATGAAAGCTTCGTCCATTACAAAACTAACAGTTTTCACATGATGAACAGTGTTACTTAATCATCCCTACAGTGAATGAAAGATAACAATAAGTTATAATTTCTTTGCATATATGTGGAGTATCGCAAAATCTAGAATGTCATGGAGATATTTCCCCTGCCTTTTGTTTTAGAAGGCATAAGTGAAAATATTGACCTCATGAACAGAGCAATTTTGGAAACTAATAGATTACAGGGAACATCTCGACGACTGAGTTTTTGATAGGATATGTTTGCAGATCCTTGGAAAGGGCCAGCTTTTCCTACCCCTCGTGTCAATGATCTTCACTCTTGCATATTACAGTAGATATTCCAGGTTCTAAATACATATTGGCATCCCAAAACTGACAATAATTTCAAAAGGATTTCCAATGGCCTTCTGATTATAGCTGGTCTTGCAAATTTTGATGAGATTTATTTGCTTCTCCTTGGATCAAGTTAGGAGATCTTACCTCTTTTATGAAACATTATGAGGCCCTGTCAATTACTGATTACATTTCAGATGACCATAGAATATTAGTTGTTGATGAATACTTTATATTCTCAACATCTCATTACTGCAATATTTTGAGCTCAAACAAAGATTAATTTGGATCTGCCATTGTTCATCATCTTCTGTCATTGTTTCTAACCAAGCATAAATTACTCAAGGCAGATGCATAATCCTTTTGAGAAAGAGAAGCTGTGTGTTTTTCTAATTGAGAAGGCACTGCAAAAGCACCCAGCTGGGAAAGAACAAATATTAGGAATACTTGATCTCCGAGGATTCAGTCTGAGAACACAGATTTTAAGTTCTTGACCTTTCTGGTAATTCTCACAATCAGCTGATGATTTCTTATGACTAGTTGGAATTTCACAAATGTGATTGTCTATTGCTGCTCTGGCCATTAACCTGTTTCTTTTATTGTGCTGGTGAAAAGTACATAACTAGGTGATGATTTACAATTTGTCGACTTTGCAAACATTTAAGGTCTGTATGGCAACTAAAAGATATTAGGGAATGGAAGAGAAACTAAACTGAGGAAAAGAAGGGTAAAGAAAAGAAGGGAAATCAAATTTCTTTTGCTTTGTTTAAGAGAAGCGAGCAAAATGAAGTTTTCTTTGCTTGGATATATGAATGGAAAAGAAAGAAAAACAATTTTTTTAGAGGATACAATGAGTAAAATTCTGTCAATTTTTTCATTTCCTTAGCTTTCCTCCCAGTTTGGGCTGAAAACTCTTGTGTGTCAACAATGGAAGTCAAGAGATTTATTTTCCCCTCTTCTCCCTTATTTTCCCCTTTTTTATGTTCATAATTTAGCATCGAAACACAGGAAAGTGGTTTGATTTCCTTTACATTACTCTCCTCTCTCTCAAAATGCTTTCTTTCCCTTATTTTTCCCAAAGAAAATGCAGCAAAGTCTGGCAACCTTGTGGGTTAGCTTGCATATTCCATCTGCATCGAACCATTTCTTCTGAGTTCAGTTTTGAATTCTTCAATGATAATATCATTGCTGCTAGAAATCCTGATTTTTTATGAAAGATATCTGAATTAAAATGTTCTTAAAACCTCTTTCTTTTAATGTTACCTGAATTATGTTTATTCAATTCCTCATTCTTTTATTGATATTAATCTCTCTTTTGCTATCACCTTGTTGAAATACGATTGCAGCAATTGCCTAGCAATTATATTATGGACAACATGGGTTAACTGGTTTACACGGCAATTGGCCAAGCCTTTGTTGAGATCATATGCTTCTCTGGTACGCCATCTTTTCACCCCCATAATTATCTAGTAAAGTCTTACCTGTGCTATGTGCTATAATTATTACCTATTCAACATCATGGCGATTTAGTTTTTAAGTCGCAAAACTCAGATGGACATGGACATGCTTTCTGTAAAAAGTTAAAACAGAAATTATATCCATTTTCTTTGCTATCCAATTTTGCTTGCAAGCAAATGGCATCGAACAAAAGGTGTAAAGAGGATAAAAAAGCTCCCTTGGAATGATAACCTGGAAAGCAAAACCAACATATGGATATTCCATCATTGTCCCATATATGTTACATCAGAACAGATGAAGCAGAAAACACCTTGTTATACATATCATTATCACCTTAGCGAGCACGCAACCTAGCTTAGCCGTCATTATCCATCATTGATTTATTATTATGTCATGTCGGAGAAATTAGCAAAACAACAACGCTAGGGACAGTTTAAACTCGTTTTCCAGACATAATATAGTATCACAACATAATGAAGAATTTCATTTAATTTCTTAGAGTGTCAGACAGGCAGAGAGAGAAAATAGAGATGGAGAAACCAAGGTGGTGGTTGTTACTGTTACCTGGTATTGTATTGTTGAATTTGGTGGGTCTTTGCAAGGCAATCGAATCGCCACAGTATGTTGTGGTGCATGCAGAATCGGATTTCGAGGTGAGATTGTATGTGAATTCCACATGGATGTCTGCTCCAGTTAATGAACTCTCCTTTGAGAAAGCCACCTTGTTTGGCTTTCATAGGTAACTCCTGTGCCCAAGATTCAACATCACTTTGAATTTTATATGCATATCTAGTTTGTTGTTTTGATTGCTTAGAGAAAAGGCGAAGTTTGATGTTTTTAAGACTTTGTTTTGGTTGGTATTTTTCACTTCTATAATAATTCAACCAGCTAGAACACTAGTTGGGTGTACGTTTCAATTTTCCTCCACGCTCCTGGAGCTACCATTTCTTAAAGCTGATAGCTGCTTTATATTTTGTGACTGCTAAATCTTCCTTTGAGATTCTAGTTCATCTGTTTGATATCACCCTGTTGTTCTTTTATCAGGTTGTTTCAATACATCCAGGGTGCCAATCTAAACTATTCGAGGATTGCAGTGACAGTTCCCTTAGTGACCAGCATAGTTCCAGGAGCTGGGCCCTTCCGATCATCTGCCTATGTTGTTCGGTTTTATTTGCCTGTGAAACTCCAAGCTGACCCACCCGTCCCCCTTGATGAACTGCACCTGAAACCTTACGCATGGATCAGTCATTGCGTTGCTGTGAGGAAGTTCTCTGGGTATGCGAAGGATGACAATATTGCAAAGGAAGCAAAAAGACTCGCTGTCAGTTTGAGCAGGTCGCCATGGGCCAACTTAAGCGCTAGCGAGAGCAATTATTCCTATTCTATTGCTCAGTATGATTCTCCATTCCAGTTTATTGGTCGTACCAATGAAGTGTGGGCAGATATAAAAGTATCCGGAGCAGATGGCTGTAAATCCACTGGAATAGCCTCATACTGAAGAATTGCAGACCGAAAGGATCAAGCACAAACATAATAAACCACTGTAGTTTCCTTATTCTCATATATATTTCTCTGTGTGTGTGTGTGTGTAAAAACATGTTTATGTATTCCATTTCAGCTTGTAAGTTGATACCATAAGAACGTGATGCTTGTGCTATATTTTAGCCTTTTACTAGCCAGTTTGCTCATTGCTGCGGAGTTCTTGAAAAGTTTTCTTGTAGCCCTTCATATTAAAAGGAAATTCAATGATTTTAGAGAAAGAATATATTTTTTTTAGTCAAAATTCCTTTTTTTAATTCATGCATTGCTTTTCTGTTTTGAGAAAAAAATCTCTCTTTTTTCATCGACATGATTTTTTCGAATAAAAAAATAAATATTTATAAAAATTCTAATGATTTATAAGGAGAACAAAAAACGTATTATTTTAATCAAAATTTCAATTCCTTATTAATATGTTTCTTTTTTTTATTTGAATAAAAACATGGTTTTTTTTATTGGATGCATGATTTTTTAAATAAAATATTATAATAATCTGAAAAGAAAGTTTTAATATATAAAAAAACATAAAATCATGCCTTTATAATTTTTACTTTAATATGTGAAAAAATAAAAGAATAATTAATTTGAGAACTATATAAAGCATTTCTAATAAATAAATAAATAATAGATATTTTTCCCTCATTGAATATCCATTAGCAATGTTTTAAAAAAAATTGCATATTAAGTTTGTATAAAATAATTTATAAAGTAATTATTATACAAAGCTCTAATTTTATTTGAAAATTATGTATGGATTTTTTAAAAAACAAATATATATATCATTTTAATAAATTTATTTAAAGTTGATTTTATTATAAAATATAGAAAAACAAGAAAATTAAATAAATAAATAAAAGAAACGGATGAATGTTAGGCCCACACACCTGAAAATATATTTAGTTAAAATAAATATGTGGCAATTAAAATAAATATTAAAAATTAATTCAGTAATTTAAATTCTAGAGAAAATATATTTATTTAGTCAAAATTCCTCTTTCTTGTTCATGGTTTTTTTTTATTTTGAGAAATAAATATTTATTTTTTTATATAAAAACTCAAGCCAATCAAAATAAATATTCATAAAAATTCCAATGATTTAAAGTAAGAAGGATAAAAACATATTTCTTTAATCAAAACTGTCATTCCTTATTCATTTGTATTTCCTTTTTTATTTTTAAGAAAACATATCTTTTTTTATTATAAACATGATTTTTAAAATAAAGTTTATCATAATATGAAAAGCAAGTTCCAAAAAAAATCAAGCCTTTGTGTTTTTTTTAGTTGGCTATGTGAAAAATAAAGAATGACTAATCTGATAACAAAACATTGACAGTAAAAATAACAATAGCATAATTGGATGGTTTTTAGTTAACAATTTTAATTAAAGAGAAACTCTTTATGAAATAAAAAAATAAAATAAAATAATTAATAAATATGAGATAAAAACAATGAAAGGTAAGCGCTTTTAGGTTTGAAAAGTCAAGTTTGTGCACCTATTTATTTTTAAAAGTTTGAGTGGATAACACATCATTTAGTTGAGGTTCTTTTTCCATAATCAAATAGATAATGTGTCGTTCATTGCTACAAGTTTTTGCCATTAAAATCGAACTAATTTGGATTTCAAATCCTGTATTGTAATTTATTTTCATTTAAAAACACAAAAAAAACAAAACATCCTAAAAATTTTAATACCTTCATTCCCAACCTTTAAACATCATCTAATCAACCAAAAAACTCAAAAAAATCAGATTGAATCTAAATAAATTTTGTGAGAATATATTTACTTTTTTAGCACTATTAAAGATTGAAATCATCTCCATTGAAACCCCCTTGAAGATAAACTTATTGATGTTAAGATTGATCTTTTGTTTTTTTTTTAACAACTTGCTTTCTTATCCCTCAACATTCAAAAACTAAAACATGAAAAAAATAAAGGTCAAAGGTTGAAAAAATATAAAAATATAAAATATAAAATAAAATAAAAATCAGAAATTAAACTTAACCTTTTCACGCCACGCCATATTGGATGAACTCCCTTTTAAAAAACAAATCTACTGGCATCAACATTGGCCTTCTTAGTGGTCAGCTGAAAGTTTTCTCTTTCCTTTTCTTTAAACGACTTGCTCTCTCTACTATTTTCTTGACAACTCGTCCTCTTTTGCTTCAGCATTTAGAAACTAAAACATAAAATAATAAAATTAAGGATCAAAATGATAAAAATAAAAATGTAAAAATATAAAATTTATAAATAAAAAAAGTTAAAAAGTTAAACTTAAGCTTTTCACGTTACATTGGATGAATTCTCTAGATAAATCTATTTATATGGGATTGGTTTTTTTTCAATAATAAACCAAAAGTTTTCTTTCTTCTATTTTTTTTTTGGTGAATTGTTCACTCCTCCATGATATTTAGAAACTAAAACATAAAAAATAAAGTTTAAGGGTTAAAATAATAATAAAAAATGTAAAAAAAATAAAAATTAGCCCAACTTATTCACACTAAATTAGACACGCTATAGCTATCACGTTGCATAGTAATTGAAATTGTAAATCCTCAGTCACGTTGCATACAGTAAATCATTAGTCTCTTTTAATTTATTTTATTATAATATAATTATAATTACCTGAACTTCCCTAAATGACTCTCAGCTGAATACTCAGGATAAAAATGCACTAAAATTTTATTTATATTTATTCTTGCATGATCCATAACAATCATATAATAACAAAAACCGTTCTTGATTACAACTTTAGCTTATGAAAAAAGACACCTAGCAAAAACAATAAAAATAATTTGAGTTAATAGGTTAAATTTATGGCATGAATTATAAAATTAAGATAATCTCATAGAAAATAAATTAAAATAAATTATAAAATTTAATTTTTAATTAAAAAAAAACCTCAAAACAATATTAAAAAATATTAAATTAAAAAACAAAAAAAACTCAAAACAAATTATGAATATCAATCCTCACTAAACTCACTATTGAATAATTAGTTTTTTTTTAAGCACTATTTTAATGGGTAGTGAATTCACCTTTCCTATTAGTTTTTGTTAATTTTAGTGAATAGAGAATTCACCTCTTCATTTAATTTTTGTTAATATGAAGCTCACTTCTTAATTAATATAATATTGAAATAATAAAATGAAAAATAATAATTAAATAACTTGAAATAAATTATAAAGCTCAATATCTAATAAACCCAATATTAACATAAAACTGAAAAAAAATTAAAAAAAAACTTTACGAAAAGATGAACAATGAATTTATCTTTTTTTTTTAGTTTTTATTGATTACTCTATTTATGATACTTATAAAATTGTAGGGCTGCATCATATGATTTTATATTATAATTGTAATTATAATTATAATTATAAATTATACTAATTGAGAAAGGGATTTTATTTTCCTATACCCTTATACATCATGGATGACATAGTAAGAAATAGTACTTCGAAAATTTAATTTTAATTCTTGAAGTTTTTATTTGTAATTTGGTTTCTAAATTTTTATAATTTATAAAAAGAGAAAGTAAAAGCATGATCTTGATCTAAAAATCAATATATCTAAATAAATGACAAATATCTCTTTTTATAGGCTAAAATTTAAAACTATTGATGGAGGCTAATTAATTTAGTGGTTTAACTAATTTGGTGGCTAATTATTCATTTTGTGACTGAACAAAATATTATAAACAACATTATAATTTGGATAAATGATCTTCATGAAAGTTATATGTATTTGTCATATATTTCCAATAAAAAAAGTAGTGGGCTCATTTAAATTTCTAAAACTTAAGATATGGCCTGAACACCGAACAATATTTTGGCTTTATGGTAAGTTAAAACTTCTCTTTTGTTACTAAGATTTAAACTTCAAAACAATAATATTGAGTTTTAGACTATTCATAAATGTTTAGGTCTATATCTAAGATTTTCATCAAGCTAAACCACGCCTACATCCAAGGTCTATAGCTCTAGTAATTACCCAAAAATCAAATAGTGTTCTAGATGTAATTGAACCGGCCCAACTAGAATTTCTTCTTGAAGCTTAACCCTCATTTTATCTCTCAATTTCAATAATTAAATACATCAATTAGTCCTATGAATTTTGGGATATTTATACATTTAAATTAAATATTTATCATAAATTAAAAATATCTTATATTATTAGACTTGTTATTATAATAACATGTTTTAGTTAGGAAATTTAATGATACTTCAAATGCAATATGATGATATAAAACCTTAATAAAAATGTACTTTTAAGTACTTATCATCAGACTTTTATGATCTATGTCTATTCCAAGAGGTGTTGTATGGCTGAAAAGAATCATGTAAGAGAGGTTGTGATTGCAAACAAAGCAAGTTAAGCTTTCAAGCAACTAAAAAAGAAAAAAGTTATTGTAGAGGTTGAAGTAAATAGCTTTAAGGTGACTTATTCTTTTCTAAAGAAATAAATACAAGGTGTTTTCCTTTAGTTGGGCTCCAACGACAAATTATTTCAAGTCACCTACAACCAAGTGGATTCCCTAAAATAGGAGATCCTTAAGGAGAAACCACTTAAAATGGTATGAGGACTAAGTTTCTTGTTACCGGGGAAGAATCCTGGCATTATTAAGCTCTACTAAAGGCTTTAAGGAACTTTCATCGGGAGTTCCAAGAATTGTTTTATACAGTCTGCAACTTTGACTAAGATGGTAGGGGATAAGATATTTCTTGCTCTGTCCAACCTATATTTCTTCAACCAATTAAAGGGAATGTAAATGGACTTCAGTGATACCTTTTATTTAGTCCCGATGTCTAACTTTGTGGATATGTTCTCAATCATGGAAGTTACTGCCCAATGTGGTATACCTGACTAAGAAGCCTAGGTTAGATATTTAAGCTCCACTCCTTTTTTTTTTTTTTACAAAACCCAGGTCCTATAAGGTTTATCCATGTAACATTTATTCTTTATTTTATAAAATTTTGATTCCTTTTATTTCTTTATTACTCATATATATATATATATATAATGTCATCTTCTTTTTCTTTTTCTCAATTTTATCTATAAAATTTTTTTACCTATCGAGAAGGTCACCTTTGGACCAACCATGTTAAGTGGATTGCATGAAGACAATTTCTACACAGTTTAATTTTAAACTCA